AAACTATATGGTTCGATCTTGTTCAATAAATCATGTACAATATGTTTGCATTTTTTAAAGCAGGGTTCAATTTTCACACTCGTTGGTAACTTATGAAAGAACTTGATACACGAATACATCGGGGTTTTTTCTGTCAGAGTTAGTCTGTGGACAGGAGTTTTCAAATCCACAGTTCTCGTTTTATAACTATGTTGTGATTTAAACATATCAAATCTTTCCCTATTTCTGAACAGAAATACCAAACACTCATATATATAGATACTTGGAGCAGTTAATATATTCATCTCTCTGAACTTTCCTCTGCAGGACTGTCTTTTAGTGTTTCCCAATAGAATTCGTAGGGATCTTTTCTGTACTAAAAAAACACTCTGCGCATCCGAGCTTCCTCCCCAAAAAATGATGCCAAAGCGCAATAGAGAATGAAAGTTTGAAAAATACACCGTTCTCAGAGCTTCATTATCTAAATATCTAGCTACAATTCTGGAAGAATAACACACTGAGTTTAATTTACTACAGAGTTCATTTATATGGATCTGCCAATCAAGATTTTGGTCAATATGAACTCCCAAGAACTTGATGTTTTTCTCTAGGGCCACATTTTTTGTCTCGAGCTGTATATCTCGCGATAATTTGTTTCCTTCGTTTTTAGTTGTTGTGAAACAGATGTAGGTTGTCTTTTCTTTGTTTAAAGTCAATCGGTTCTTAACGAGCCAGTCTTGAGCTTTTTCTAGACTATCATTTGCAATACCTAACATTTCCTGAAGTGAAGATCCTACCACTAGGATGTTTGTGTCATCAGCATAGTTTACAAGGTGTGTTTTTTCGTTGATAATATCTGATGCTAAGTCATTGATATAGAATATGAATAAAAGAGGCCCCATCACACTTCCCTGGGGCACTCCAACCTCCATCTTATCCATATTTGCCCAATTGATGTTAATTGAATTTCAACATGTATTTTTTTTAACATGTAATTTTTTTTATGTCTCATCTGGGTGAATAAAATACAAAATAAGAATTTTAGGGTTAGAGGACTGAAATTAGATGAAGGTAATCACGGTAGATAGTAGGTCGCAGTGATCTAGAGGTCTTCCAGCCTATTCGACCCCTGCACCTATACAATCTACAGGGTGATGAACTGTTGAAATACGAAATATCAATTTCTTATCGAAACGAGAATCATTTTTCGATGAATCATCATTATTTCAACTCTAATCAAGAATTGAGGAAGAATATTTCATCGGGTTGCGACATGATGACTGACTTTTCATTCAACTCTGCTCATCAGAAAAAATCTCACTTCTTAATACATATTTTACGTTTATTGTATATAAATATAATTGAACATCCATAGTAGACAACGAATTATAATGAATATTTAGGTGAATAATAATGATTATATAAAATATTTGTACTAAATAATGATAATATTAAGTGATTTCATATATATTTTGAGTAACAGTATATGGTATAGTTAATATTATAAGTGAGTATTCATTATGATATAATACTGATTTTTAAGGTACCTTATAGGAGAACAAATCTCCTATTTTGAAAATATTATCGTATCGTTCGGTTTCATTATTAATTTCTCTGTGTTACATATAAAAATTCTCGATTCTCTATCGAGTTCCTACAATGGCGTATCAATATCAGACCATCATAGTTGTCTCAATACAATACAACATATCAAATCTTGCTTCAGTGTAGGTATTACATAAACCCAGTTTTGGTCAAATCTTTTTTATGGCAGCATTCAATCCATTATATACGGTTTCCGAAAGAGAATTTGGATGAAAACCATCATCTAGATTCTAGATCTAAAATATCCACAATCTCTTTCAGATTATGTAATTCAGATACTTTAACCTCGTGACTAGAGCTGAATATGTTGAAGCCAGGAATAACTGCAGCCAAACAATAGATGCATCAAAAGAATCACACAATGCCAAAATAAGATCGAAACTCTATCATAGATTGTCCTTTGGTTTTCCCAATGGCTTCCGTACGTTTTGGTCCCTCGCTAAAACAGTCGGAAGGATTTTCACTAATAGTTCATTCCCACCACTCTTCATAGCCGGTGGCACATTAGCAACAACATCGAAAGAGAAAGCAAACATTCAGAGCAGTTTGCAGCAAACTCCTTCCTAGATTTCCAGGCAAAAGTGCCGCCCAACAATCCACCCATTGAAAGTCGAATGCCCGAAATCGTCTTTCGTCAACGCACTATCAGACACATTTTGTGTGGTCTCAAAACGAATAAGGCTAACGGTCCTGATGGAATTTCACCCGTTAATATCAAAGAATGTGCACCAGAATTGACACTGATTATCTGCAAGTTATTTACCATCTCGTACAAGTCGGGTATTTTCACATCATGCTGGAAGGTATAGCTAGGGTCCAACCAATCCCCAAAAAATGGACAAAAACCTGCCCAACATTCACAATTCTATTGCCCTGTTATCAGTGATCTCCAAAGTGATGGAGAAAGCCATGACCATTGAGTTCATAAAATATTGGGAAATCTCAGGAATCATTAATGATAGACAATATGGCTTTTGCCACCGACGATATACTGGAGAGTTAATTGCCTACGTCACCCATATAAGATAAGCTTCATTGGGAAAACATGGGGAATCCCTAGCTGAGGCGTTAGATATATCGAAGGCATTCGACCGTGTTTGGCACCAAGGACTCCTCCAGAAACTACCATCATATGGCTTACCATCTCAGCTATGCCATCTTTCATCGAGTTTCCTTTCAGGCAGATCGCTCCATGTCATGCCAGTTTTGGCACCACCACCACCTACTTCGTATCAAATGATCTGTTGCGGGTAACCACTTGCCCTATCCATAGCTTTGCAGATGATAGTACTCTCCATATACTACGTTCGCTTCTAGAATTTTCATTTCTTCCCAGGAAACTAATAACTAATGAAAATGGTAGGTCAACGCTGTCAATGGAGATCTTGCCAGAATTACAGCCTGGGGAACTAAAAACCAAAATGAATCATGTTCGATCCATCGCGAAAGCCTCTTCACAAAAACTTGGATTTTTATTCCGTGCGAAAATCTACTTTACACCTCAACAACTTTCAGACTGTATGAAACGAAATGAATAGTTTAGTTCTGTTCACTCATCGAAAAATTTTTATCTTTCACGTAAGTTCAGTTCAGATTATCAACATTTGAACAAGCCATGGCTATAAGGGCATTCGAATCCACCGATATTTGATTCGGTCGCTCATTCACAGTGCCTTCGCATCACATACTGGCATCTGTCATCCATATACAGTGCATCTACTAATAATTTATGAACTTATTTTGAGTATCAAGTTTCAAGTCATAAGTCAGTGCCAGTGCCAGGCATTGGGTTTCAATATAAACATCCATACCTTGAGCATTCATAAGTTTCAAGTCATAAGAAAAGTTCACCAACATTCATCTCTTCAAGGAACTTATTCGCTCTGAGCTACTATTTGCTATGTTGGGTTTTTTTTATTTCAATTTTCATCGAATCAAATTTAAAATAGATAATTATATTGGAACTGCCGAAAAGAAGAAAAAACCTATTATGTGTGGTGTTACCTAAAACATGTATAAAATTGAATTACATTTAGCAAAATCTGCCAATAGAATCGTGCTTTCCTTATGATACGACAGTTCTTATGACTTCGGATGAAATAAACTGAATGTTTCTCTTTCGACTCGAAACTTGTGATTTCAAACTTACAACTCAAAACATGAGACCTAAAACTGCTGCATACATCCACCATGAATAACATCCCCATACGAGCTTTGCCCATCCACTCGACTCAACTTACAACCATCTGATATTTGAAACCCGATAGAGAAACACAATTCTTATATACTTATATATCTGTTATACAAATCTGGAATGAAATAACCGGTATATAGGATATTCAATCCGTTTCAAAATAAGATATTGTATGTAGCCATTCGACCAGCTCAAAATATAATAGATATACGCGATGAATAATCAAGTATAGTCAATTATCCAGTCTCTGTTTCTGTTCGGTGCTATATCTGTTATATTTTGTGGTAGCGAATGGCTACAATATCTTCTTCAAAAAGCATTGAAAATCTTATATGCCGACAATTTTCTTTCAGATCTGACACTGTCTTTCATCACCACCGATACAACTAGGGTACATTTATTTGATGATTTGGATGAATTTATCGGTACACTTCACTGACTGATAAACAATGTATACAAGGTGGAGAGGGAATACATCCATTCATTCCTTGAACGAAAATAGTACCTACATGACTTTTATTATGAGTAATGTGAAACAAAAATCAATTGGCAGATTATCAAAAAATGGAGAATCTAGTAGCCACACTGATACCTCCTCTCTTTGTTATTACCTAATTCAGCGTGAAGATAATACATTTTGGATTATCCACTGCACTCTAAGGAATTTCCATTGAATTATTATTTTCATAGTGAAAATCCGAATCCCAATCAAGGGCCATTACTTTTCTTATTTCGACGAAATACTATGAAAGACAGATGATTAATTATTCAGAAAAATGGGATGCTGTTAGGTTCCGAAACACTGGTAGATCACCACTTTTAAAACTGTGGTTTTCAATGTTATAAAATCTTTATGAAACCAATTTTTGTAACATTCCCATAGACCGGTTTCAAGGTCCAGCAATCTAACTTAGGGGAGGTGAGTACTCTGAATCCCACTGATTTGAAAAGTTGTCAATTGATTTTTATTTGATATATTTATATGACACACTTTGAGAAATGAATCGAACTTCAAATCGATATCTTATCAACTACTTGAGTAATAGAAAAATAAAAATAGTTTCAAATTCAAAACTGTATGTCGAACATGGGGACCCAAAATGAATCGAATTATTTTTGTTCATGGAATACCTAAATGGGCAACGGATTGAACTATTTCTCACAGACACCCTGTGAAATAAATATGTATGTGGGGATCCACTAATCTAAAGTTAATGTTGCATTATTCGAATTTTGATCTCTTTGGCAAAAATTTCACAGCCCTTTGACCATATCTTGTTTTGTGTCCCCTTTTCTGTTTTCCGTTTCTCTTCAAGGCTATGTACCATCCTAAATGCGCATATTTCCTTGATAAATATGCGTTATATGACCCTTGGAATGATTCGATGTATACTGTTGATTCTTCCATTGGATCGACCTGGAAAATATATCTTCAGAAACAGAACTGCATTAAAATGAATTGGCATTGACAATTCACCTCCCCGTAGAGTGCCCCGCGTTTATTTGTGGCAATGAACAAATTTGTCAACAGCCCCCGTATCTTCACATGACTAGAGTAACCAGCTGATACAACTTCTAGGTAAGCTGAAAAAATTATATAATAGCCATTGGATATTGGATTATTGGAATGAAATGGTAAGGTCAGATCAGAGATAAGTTCTTATATCTGGTCAGATAGTCGTTCTCTATAACTATTTCAAAAATTGGACATTCCAAAACGTCAAATTATTTCGAAACGAACGTGATTCTTGTCGTGTGTGTCAAAATTAAACAATATACATACATGTCCGCATACTCGCCTCTGTAACCATAACTATACGGTTTCAAGATATTCTTCGACGAGCTCTCCATTAGTTCAGTAAAGTTAAACATGAAAAGGGGGTCGTGCTTGCAAAAGGTCCGGTCGTTCTGAATTTTTTATATGTTGTTAGGACCTAAACCAATATTAAAAAACCAGATTTGCAATTTCCAAACTGCTGTGCGAGCGGCGGTATACCCAAAAAACAATGAAATTTTCGGACTTTTTTCAGTTTTCGCTCAATATCTTAGAGAAGGAAAGGTTTGACCGGTTAGTCACCATTTATAGTTTTGAATTAAAATAAATTCGCTATGATGAGAGGCCAAGATGAGTTCCTTACAGCTATTGGTTCCCAAGATACAGTTCGTTGAAAATAGTCAATTTTTTCTAAAAACTGAAATTTCTTCAAAATGGTCACATATTTTGTGAGTTATCTTCTATAATACGCTTCCCACGTGAAATATCATATATGATGAAGTTGGAAAGAATTCAATAAGATTTGTTTCGAGACCAGATTGGTTTCTGTAAGACCAGTGGTTCTCCCGAAAACGGCAGATATCCAAGAACAGTCATAAGTGGGTTTTAGGGAATAATGCGAATGAACTGTTCTCACGTCTTTGCATTTTCTATTTATCAAACAGTTACAATTCACTTATTTTTGTTATTATAGAAGGATTGTTTGATGAAAAATAAGGAAAATAATACAGGGTGACTTTTTCAATATGGTATGGAAACAAAATCAGAAGTGTTGCGATAATAATCATTGATTTTGAAAGTACAGGGATGCGGATTCCACTTCTTAAACACAATGTTGTCCGAATGTCGTCCATCCTTCTCATAGCACTCCTCCAATGATTCTCTTGAATGTTGGAATACCCGCTGACACATATTCCTATTCCAATAGGAATGTTGTTAATTGCCTGTCGAATGTTGTCTGCTAACTTCTCTGTAGTGGCTGAAGGATCGGAGTAGACGATGCTCTATATCCCCACAAAAAATCGAGGTACGTAAGATCTGGCGATTTTGTCGGGAAAGTGGTGTGTGTCCCCAATTTTCTAAAAACTCGCCGTGCCATAAGAATCGTTAGATTTAAAAAACGCCATGTTTTCTGACAATCCGTACCAGCGCTACTTCCCTCACAACTGTTAGGACGGTTGTACAGGGCGCATGCGAAAAGGGAAATTCACCCTGTATATCTTTCAGGAATAACGCAATTATCAAACGTTGTTTTATATACACCTAAATACTAAAATGCTTGCACAAACATCATGGTACCTACTTGAAGGACAAATTAAATCAACGTAAACATCAACTAATATAAAACATGTAGTTGTCAGGTAGCCAAATCATGACTTTCTTTTTATCTCTGATGTCCCGCACTTGGGCTCGCACGAAGATGGTGTCTCGATGGCTGTGATGAATGCTGGGAGAGCGCCCAATCGGTAGTCAGGTCATCTTCATCATCCGAGCATTTCAGCTCTACATCCGGGACGTTGGTGCACAATTTGCCACCGCATGACTGGCAGAGGGCAGAGGACAGAGCAATGGAGCCCTGCCTTTCTGCCCGAACAGCTCCCAGGGCACCCTTTCTTGCATTTACATGAGATCTTTCGCAGAAGAGCAAGAGGTGCGATGGAGATGGGAGTGTGTCCCTGAGAAGACATCTTCCACCCCCAATCTGAAGGACTCAAGTTTACTCCCCGCCACTTCTGCACTTGGAATGCGGCATCTTCCGTCGGTGGCAATCGAGCGAGGTTTATATGCTCGTTGAAGTAACAAACGTCTTATACCTCAGGAAATCCAAAGTATCCTTCGCGATATCACCCTCATATAGAGCCACAAAACATTTAATGCCTGCTCCTCTCACGCCTTGTGGGATGAAGTCTGGCCGAAGAAAGACTTTCACGTGCTCAGCAAGTGGTTTCCTCTTGCTCAGGAGTGTAGTGAATTTGGTATTCCCTTGGACAAACGGCGCTGAAGTAGTATCGCACCCGGTGAATACGTGGATGGATAGTACCGTCTTTGGTGATCGCTGGGAGTCCTAGTGGTTGTAGGAGTTCGTATGGAGAAATGACAGCAACCAGCTTCGCTCTCCGTGCTCTTCTGAAGGTAGACTGTTTTTGGTTATCAGCCGTTTTCTAGAGAACCGCTAGACCTACAGATACCAGTCTAGTCTCAAATGAAAGCTGATTATATATACTACATCTTCATTCCACATAATATTTGACGTGGGAAGCGTATTTTAGAAGATAATTAACAGAATAGGTGACCATTTTGAAGAAATTCCACTTTTTCGAACAAATTGACAATTCTCGAAGAACTGTATCTTGGGAATCAATCGCTGTGTAGAGCTCGCCTTGGCCTCAAATTATAGCAAATTTAGTTATCTTCAAAAGTTTATGGGATGACTATGGCGGTCAAACTCTTTCTCCTCTGAGATATTGAGCGAAAACGGAAAGAAGTCTGAAAATTTCATGGTTTTTTGGGTATACCGTCGCTCGCACAGTACTTCGGAAATTGCAAATCTGGTTTTTTGAAATTGGTTTAGGTGCTAACAATATATAAAAAATTCAGAATGACCGGACCTTTTGCAAGCACGGATGTACATTTTGATTGGATTACATATGTATTTTGGGGAACTGATCCGAATCTAAGGTATGGTAACAAAATTTCGTGACGCAACATTGAATAAATCCCAAAAAAAAGGTGAACAAAATAATTCTCTTTGCTTATAACTCAGATACTATCAACTTTCTTCGAGTAACCTCCCTTTTCAAAATTGAAGTAAGTAAATAAAATTTCATAATTTTTTTACTCGATGACCCGCTATCGCTCAAGCGCTGATTGAAAAATGGCGTATATCGGCTGTCTCCGCAAAAAACTTTCCCCACTTCGAAAGCACACATTAATATTAACAGCTGTCAATTAGCGAATTCCTAGTTATCCCCTACATTTGGATTGTTCATATACAAGTCATGTTTGCCAAATTATATACAGGGTGTAATGGCTAAAATTATAGGATACAGTTCCTCAGTTCATTTTGAGAAGAAACATTCATATAAACATATGCCCTAAACCTCTTAACTTTCGAGTTATATAGGGTGTTGAAATTGTCCATTATTCCAGATTATTTGGAATAATGAATGTACCACCTCCTCGATTAACCTACTACAGACAGTATTTGTTGAAATTGTGTTTCCTCTTCATTATTGATTGGAGAAACTCTCACAATGTGAAGAACTGTCACTTTTATGAATACTTTCCGAAACAAGATCGCAACGTGATCGAACAGATGTCATTATTTCAAATACAAAATAGGAGATATGGCATCAGTTTACAAGTTCAAAATAATGTCGTTATACCACAAATGCAAGAAATTGTTTTTATTTTTCTATGCGAAAATGGTGCGTTGGACGGAGAAAATTAATCGAGTCAAATTGTTGTAAACTAAATGAGGAGTTCAAAAATATTCTTGCTGCGGAAAAAGCAAGGGCGTCCGTTTTTTTCCTAGAAAAATCTCCTGCATCAAAAAATGCTTATGGTGCTTAGTGGGTGCATGTGAAATTTCATGAAAATATCTATCTATCTATCTTAACTTCAATACTGTTCTATTGAAGTCATGATCACATAACAATTTTTTTTAATCTTGAAATTCTAACAGCCCATAGCTCGGAAGTAAAGAGGTTTTGGGCATATGTTCATATGAATTTTTGTTCTCAAGTAGAGCTATAAGGAACCATATCCTATATTTTTAGCCATGGATTAGGTGAATTACACATGTTTAATGAAGGCCGAAATTGTACAAAAAATGTAATTCCAACGAAAACGAGAAAATAAATAATAATATGGAATCGTGGATACCATCCATTCTCTTCGAAATGGTGCAAATATAAATCACAAAGTCGGTCGGCTCTCTTAAAATCTCTCCTCTCATTTATTCATTGTAATTTCAATACCTTGTGTCCATGTCATTGTAAAACTTGTCATTTTCGTCATTTCCTGCTCTTAGCTCCTTCTTGTTTAGGATTTTGTCTTAAGACGGCCGTCTGATGAAACTCATGGTTTGAGTGATTTTTTTGTCAACCAACTTTTTTGCACATGGCTCTCATATAGGTGAGATTTTTCTCCTCACATCAGTAGCATATTTTGTGGTTTCGTCAAATTTCCTTACTGGTACCCAATTTCTGATGAAAGTCGTAGTGTCAATATTAGTAATACAATCTGATCATCATAATGTATTTTTGTAGTCAATCGATTATGTGTTTTTATCATGAATTAAAGTGTTGGTAATACTCATTTGTTTGTAGTGTATAGTTGTCAAAATACCTGAAACGAATCTACTTTGTATTCAACTTGAAACTATGAAAATATCACTAAATGACAGCCTTCAATCTTGATATATAGAGGGGAAGAAAATGGGTTTTTGAAAGAGACAGTCGAAATCGCCGTTTTCTAGATAGAAATGGAAAGAATAGAAAAATAATGATATGTGTATGAATTGTATCTTTTGGGCACAAATTGTCTGTTTTTTGAGACTATCAGTATATTTGGTGGACGAACGAAGTACAGTTACTCGAATAATAGAGAACTTCACACTCAAATCAAACAATTTTATCTTCGAATCATACCAAATCAACCTTCAGAAAGAATGAGATCAGTGAATCACTTATATGAACTATACTCCCCAATATTTGGATACTTTATAGAGTAGGAAGAGTCGGAAGACTGTCAACAACAAGTTTGATTTCAATCTCCACATACTGTGCATGTCATTCTCGTCTTCAGTTCCTCTAACTTTTCCGTCTGGATAGATCGCCAAGTAGTACCCAGTCCTGCAAAACAGTTGCATTTTTCCTCCTAGTTTCGGATTGCCTATCCTCACGTTCGTGAAATGAGGATGTCCACTGGCTGAAGGTGTAGAAGAAGAAGGTGGAGGCCATACCACTTTTCGTGTAGGTAGTTTGGGGTAATCGTAGGTTTCTGTGTCCACGCCACACCTATATAGAATCAATGTATTAATTGTTACGATTAACGTCCAGTTACGGTCTTTCACAAACACTCAGTAGAAAACAAAACGATTAATTCAACTGCAAACACTATACAAATAATCACGTATCTTCTCAATATATCACCTTCAACTAATTTATCGATTCACTATGGCAATCTCAATAATACTACTCCCGTCAGGCTATCTACCGATATTTCCCTACTGACCAATATGTAATGTGAAACATTACGACACTGATTTTAGTATCGTAATGAGATACTTTACCGCACTAGTGCGGTAAAGTGGAAGAAATATAATTTCAAATTTTATTTCAACTCAAAAAAAGAAATAAGAACCAATTTATCATGAATATAGACATCAATTTTCGTACCTATCCCTGGATTTAGCAGGTACTAAAGTTTCGATTGCTACATTCGCCGCAATTTCTATATCGAAATCTAAACTTTCCTATTTTTTTAATTGACTAAGCCGTTACTTGATGGAAATCCATGGCAAATGTAAAAACTTCACAAACGATAAGATTTCCACAAAATTCTCAAACCCACGACATGTTTCGCAAACACAGTAGTTTCGTCAGGTGATATGGTACGATGAACTAAACTAATCTGCCTAGGCAGTAAAAGTACACGTTTTCTGCCTGTTAAGTGGCAGGAAAAAGCCACTATCCCTGCCGCTTGGAGAAAAATAATCATTTTGAGTTGAATACGCTATCTGCTTCATCATTTTGTTAGCTTTCAGATGCTATACTGTAACAACTAAAAGTTTCAGTACTGACCAAAAGGTGGTGCTAGTTACTCTATAGAACTTGCTATAGAACTGCAGGATACTTCATTTCCATATAACTCCATACTATAATAACTCGCTACAAGAATCAAGACTTGTTACAGTTTTGGACTGTGAAATATGTTCAGTGATTCGTAGGTGTAACATTGCATGGCTCTAAATATTCAGTTTCAACATTCAAAACAAACTTATATTACTATGTGATATCATTGTTTCTGTAGTGATTGTAGTTATTGTACATATTTTTTTAATAATAATGATGATTTTTGATCACGCAAAGCTTCATATTACCAATTATAAAATTCAGATCAATAGTGTAACAAGTCCGAACAAAATAATTTTTTACCAGAAGTTTCTAAATTTGTTGATTTCAGGAAGTGAATCGAAAACTACTTTGACAGGGCTATTATTTTATATTCTTGAGACATATAATCTACACATTTAGAATCGAATAATTTTGACTTGAATTTTCAATTGCGATTTTCTCGAAACTACGACTTTTGAGATGTTACTATTGAACTTCGGGATTTCTGTTATAATATGTTCAGGCATATCACAAAATTCGTTTTTATTGAATCTACTTGAACTAATAATCCAAAAGTATGTATACTAACAAGGTGATGTGATACGATAATCCGATGATATCAGAACCTACATTTTCGGTCAAACCGAATAATCATGTTTGACAACTACTTCTATTTCTATTTTCAATTAAAACAAATACTTCATGTAAATTGTGCGTCATTACTCCACTTCTACTTAATGCTTTCTATTTTTTATATTCTTTCGAATATTCAGAATCGAAAACATACTCGTATTTCTATAAATATTTACTCGGGGAAATCGATTAGTTTTCAGGAATTCCAGCAGTTCTGTTGTTACGTAACAGATTATTTTTATTCACTAGATGATTTATATAATAAAGTGCTTCTATTTGCTATGAGGAAATACCTACCAACGAAAACTGCCACGATCCCTCAATTTCCATCTAAGAGGGGAGTATTTTTGACAATCAATCCAGCTTGATATTCTCATCCCCCTCTAACCCCAAGCAACCCCAACTTTAAAATTTTCAATGGTACCACCCTGCTTCCAATTTCATACACATAATTCAATATATCGGTCAGACAGGTCGTACGTTTGATCAGCGCATTCATGAACATAAGATGAAATATTTGAAGGAGAAAACAAATTCAACATACGCCTACCATATATTAGAAGAAAGCCATAGTTTTGATGATGATTTAAAAATTCTACACGTAGAAAATTAGGAATTAAACTCAATAATTCTGAATCATTAAAAAACATCAACAAACTCCCTAACATTTTACTTAACGATCAACTAGACCTCAATTAATAGTTCACCACTGTTGAATTTGTTTTCTTAATAGGTAATAATTTGTATTTGCTATCTACCCTTCCAAATTAATCCGGTACACCGTAATTTAATGCAGATCGAGATGCAGATATTGTGCCTATTTTTCGAAAATGAAGGTTTATGGAACCTTTCCACAGGTAAGTCTAATCCTTCAGGTTGGGAAAGTAGGATATATGAAAATTGGGCAAGCCAAGGTTAGTTTACTTCATTGTACCAGTTTTTTACCTGATGAAGCTACTGTGTTAGCGAAACATGTCGTGTGATTAAGAATTTTTTCTACAAGCGTGCGTGATTCACCCTATACCCGCACGCAATTTAGTTTAGGAAGTGTCAGTTTCTCGCAACAGTGCGGGAAAATTTTCCCACCCTAGTGCGGGAAAACAAAAATATAATAAAATCGCTAATAATATAAGTGGTTGGTGATGGAATATAAAAGTTTAAGTTTGTTTGTTGCAGTATTAAGTATGTATGTTCAGAATCATCCATCAAATTGCACTATTCATTGTGAAAATTGAGAAATATTAAGAAATAAAAATTCATTATTATAAAAATCCCCCTATAGATTTGGATTGATCTGATGGGAAGCGATTATTGTTGTCATGTCAATCAAACCTCAAATAAGTTTGAAATTGTCGAAGTGACAGACACAGTGTTACTGTCATTTTCGATTCAGTGGAAATGCTACAATGTGATCAATAACTTCTAGCTATAGGGATCCGATACAGATGCGTTATTACCATAGAAATCATATTATAGTATATATATGATTTCTATGGTTATTACCAACGAAGTCTTAAGAAAGATATATGAGAAGCTATACACGCGTTTCATTGAATGGTGCAACAATAAAGAAATGGAAATATCGAATGAAGAATAGGTATTTTTGGCTCATTTCATAGAAGTGTCTGAAACCTAGAGACCAAACTCCTTATATGGGCCTGCTGGCTTCCGCAATGAACCAACATAATGCGTCAAACTGTAAGTTCACAATATCTATTACTAATAATTAGTAGATAGAGAATAATTTCTCTTGTTAGTTGTTCCTATTTGCATGAATAATTAATTGAACGAATCAATCAATTTCCTACGCTTGTAGAAAAAATATTGTTCCTAACTCATGCGGAAAGTGTCTTTCCCGCACTTGACTGCTTGCCCGAACTCCTCTTCGCGTCGTTCGTGTCAACGGCAGTCGCGTGCGAGAAAGGATCACTTTCCGCACTTGTTATAGGAAAAATACTATTGTGGAAATCTTATCGTTTCTGAAGTTTTTTCATTTGCTATGGAATTCCATCAAGTAACGGCCGAGTCAATTCAAAACATAATTTTATCGGCTTTTCCATTGCGAATACAATGGTGCATTTTTTATACGGAATCTGCTGAGATTTGAGAGTTCCCAATTTCAGGAAGGGGGCAAATTTTTGTTGGCAGGCATAGTGAGGTCGACTGGTCGACCGGATTTGAGAGTGTTTTTCCTTCGAATATACATTGGGCCTTGGGCCATGCACTTCGAGAAAGGATGATTTCTATATAGCTCATAGTATAAGTCAAAGCAGACAGCTAGTTTTAATCAATATTTATTCCAAATCAACATTTCAGTTCATATTTGTATCTTTTGGAGCGCAAGAAAATGAATACCTATATATGTTCCTGTAACAGTGTGCGTACTTATGGAGGATAAGGGGAGGTGTGAAAACGGCTATTGCTTGGTTTTCAAGCATACGAATTATCCTATGAAATCTCTCATGAACTTATAGTAAATATTCGAAGATAAAAAGGCCAATATGTAGGTCAATTTGTACGAAATGGAAATAAGAGTCGGAAATTATACAACTTCAGCACAAATAATTAATAGTCAGTGTTCTTTCACAATAATGAATTCAGAGTTGAATCTTGAGATATGGAAATTTAATTGCATGAAAACTAAACGCAGAATGTCTCTTGCCGGAAGTCAATCAGTCGCTGATACGGAAAGTCTCCCAATATATTTCTCTTCCAAATTTTTCATCTCTCAACCTCCCTGAATAAATACCTATAGGTAGATATACAGGGTGATTCACATAACAACCGACATAGGGCAGGGGCATTTGGGGGTCCCAAAATATGTCAATTTAACGCAACTTACCTCTATACCAAGTTACTTTCCTAAGGAGTTATAGGCATAGCACTAACAGCATGTCAACTTGCTCGTTGAAAGAAAACTTCCCGTTCATTTTAAAAACACTCAAACAACAATTACTTAATTGAACAACTCACTTGCCTCATTGTCAAGTTTGACGTATATTTTCATAGCCAACTTTTGAATTTTCGATGATTTTAAATAACACCTAGAGCGCGCGTTTTCAGTTATTCGAGTTTTTGATGAAAATGATGAGGTTTTTCGAAAAATTACTAGAGTAAGAAAAGTTTTAGAATTGAATTTCCCACAAAACAAAGCAAAGATTTTTGAAATCCATCAAGGGTTAACAAAATTATGTTGAATATTAATGGTGCGCCACCCGGTATACCCCCTTTACAAATTTCAATTAAACTCTAGTTACTGTCAAGTAAATACATCCACGAAGTGTACCAAATTTGGTTGCTTTAGGTTCAAGAATAACGAAGATATTGATTTTTTTCAAAATTTATATCTTCACTTTCAAAGCCTATATCTCCTTAGGGAAGCAACTTGGTATAGAGGTAAGTTGCGTTAAGTTGCCATATTTTAGGACCCCCTACATGCCCCTGCTCTATGTCTGTTCTTATGTGAATCACCCTGTATAACTCCAGTGCGAGATGTTATTGAAGTTTTCTGTTTGAATTGGTTCAAATTATACAGAGTGTTTGTGAATAAGTGCGACTAACATCAGCGGTTGACCCTTTGTTAAATTTTCGGAAATAAAACTTGTATAAACATGTGTCCTAACTTGATTCGTTTGTGAGATACAGGGTATCAACATTTCCATGAAAAATAATTATTCCATTCACTATGCCTTTTTTTCAATTTCAATGAAAACTTGTTGATTGAGATAGAGCTCCGTTTGTTGTGATAATTATATTGGAAATAATATTTTCAATGAGGTCACAGTGGGTTAATTTATTAATATCCTCATGAGGATCATTTTGAAATTCTTGGATTTATTCAGTCTCCAACCATACTAAATTTGAGCACCATAAAAGCTCATTACAGGGGGATTATTAATAAAAACAATCAATACCTACTTTGAAAAAAAGTCGGCTTTTTTTGTTAAAAAATGGCCACCTTGTGTTTTTTTTTCTCGGGTTTTTCTCTAATATTCAGATAAACCCATTGAAAATTACATTTCTGTCTCTTGCTATTTGTTTGTATCTTGCTTTGTTTTTGTATCTCTGCACTCATAACGAAAAGTAAAAATGCTTAGATATTATCCAAAAATGTATTGCACATTATTATTTATGAGAACAAGAAAGACATAAAATGTATGCGATCTTAAATTTTGTGAGAAAAATGTATTCAAGATTGAATAACTCATTTTTTTGAACTTGGACACCTTATATCTTGAAAACGAAGCATTTTCGGACCCATGTTCATATGAACTTTTCTTCATATTTTGTTGAAAGGATTTTCCACTATAGGCTTTTCTAACCACAGTCTGAAACACCCTCTATACCTATCTACTTACTCTGGATATCAAATAATAGATCTAATACAAGTTAAGCGTAGGTTTAATTTACTTACCATTCAATACTCCTTTTCGATAGCTTTTTCGAAGTATCTGAAGAGTTATTGTCTTGTTCGTCTGATGGAGAGTAATCATCCGAGGAGTCTTCTGAACTAGAATAATCACTCACATTCACATCGCGTTGCATGTTTTGTTTGTGAGGAATACTTCGTATTACGTTATGAAAACGTCACTAAATTACCACGACATACAATATAGAAACAGTTGAACAGGGGTTATTTCCGCTGATTTATTAGACACAACATCACGATTGAATGAACGCATATATAGACCGTCTGTTTCTAAATTCAAAACGTTCATATGGTGTTCGGTTTTATAAATAACTTTTATTGAGTTACTTCCTCAATATACGAAGGTAACATATTGAGTAACATATTTGAATCGAAATTTCGCTTCGCATATTTTGTGTGTTTGTATAATAAATGTACTTTGTGACTTACCCGAGATGTTCTTCAACGTATCAAATACAAGTATGTATTTATTGTATTGTTTCCATTCATGTGTCACATCACAACAATATTAATTAACCCGCACTACGTATAGATTTTATTTCGTTTGGAGTAGTAGGCGTCGACACATTTTAGATAAGGAAACCTTTGAGAAAGTTGTAAGGTTTATTTTGATTAGATTATATCTCGCTGAACTATCGCTTACTTTACCTATAATTCGTGTATAGAATTATAGTTCACAAATTCTGATTCTTCCTGATAATCCTGATAAAAGGTAACCCCACTTCTGATCACGTTGGACAGGGCCGGCCCAACCAATAAGCAAGTTATGCATACCATCCCAAGTAGCACAAGACAATATCGGTGGAATATTTCGAAAATATCGGCATAATATTGTGGACGTTATATTGGCAAAAAAATGTGAACATTCGGCGATATCGGTACAATATTAGTTTCAAAATGTGTGTGGAATATTGAAAATCAGCAAGTTGCAATGTCTACTTGAAAACATTGGTGGTATATTTTCACATATTGGTCATAAAATGTGAAATCAATATTGGCGAAAAATAAAAAGTGCACATTTGACAATATTGTTGCAATATTAGTTAGGAATATTGGTGGATCATTGAAAATTATTATGTTCTCGCCTCTTGAGAATATTGGTATTTTTTATACCAATATTGGCGAGACATAAAATGTGAACATTTGGCAATTTTGGCCTCGTCCTGGGGAAGCCGCTTTGTTGATCACGGTTAACATCTACGCCAGGTAAGTATGCTTTTCAATCAATAATTTATACATAGCGCTATCTATCGACTCAGGTTTGAGAGTGATATTAAATAAATATCGAATTGCCGATATCAATATGTAAATTCGAAACAATATATATGTTACCGATATGCAATTGAATTTGGAAATACAATATTGTTTTACTCTTATATGACCGATATGAAGAAAAATATTGAATAGCCGATATAGATATTGATTTTGGATGTAAGTATGATAAATTGACATTCATCATACAGGACGTGGAAAGATATTCTGAATTGAGAAAACCTGATCACGAATGTGAACATATTGGTAAGTTATATTTTTATATCATAATACATTGTTTTCGATTCGATTTGAGAGATAATGACAATTCTCAATTTCAGAGGATTTTGATTTTTCATGCTCTCTTTTTGGATATTCAATGTTCGACGTGGCGGATAGCCAGGAAAGTATTTGTTCTCTGTTGAATATTCAGAATGATATTATATGCATATCTTTATATGAAGGACAATACAAATTCTCTACTTCAGAAGATTTTGTTTTCAAATTCTTATCGTGTGTGTTCAATAGATGTAATTCAATATTCGTCGTGGCATATGGCCAGGAAAGTATAATTGTTTTCTGTTGAATAAACCGAGAAAGAATCAATATTTTCGTCACATGGAGATTGCGAATTCTCAATATATTTCTTTATTTATATATCCATTTTTTCGTGTTCATAAATATATCTGAGAACATTCCTTTTCAATAGATATTGATCTTTGAAACAATATGCATTCGATATCTTCCGCATGATATATAATTGATAACAATCAAAAAAGGTGAATATGATATGTTTCGAACTCAATTATAGAATATTGCATAACCGCTTCCGAATCGATATGGGGAGAATTGCATAACCGCTTCCGAATCGACATAGGGAGAATGTTCAAATTGTAATATTCGTCATAACTGTTGAAAACAATATTCGATGTTGTTGTGGTACAATATTAAATATATTATATATTTGTTCTTCCACATATTGTAAACAAACTTTTCAACCAATATTGATGCTTCAATATTGTAGCTGACAATCCTCATTTAGCCCAGGTTGAACCAATATTCCACAAATATTATCCATTCCAATATTGTATTTTCAATATACTCTCATATATTGGACCAATATTATTTCTACATTTACAATTTATCTATATCGGCCCAAAATGAAATCAGGATTCAGCCAATTTGATGTGCTACAGGGGCGGACTGGACCTTTGAATCGGCCCGGGCGAATTGAACATTACCGGCCCACCTCCGGAGGAAATTTCAAAGCTACTATAGCTATTCATATAATTTCATCAAATATTTTGATAACATATTCGAACAAAAGCGGAAAAAATTATTACAAATAGTTTTCATTATAATAAAACTCATACAAAAAAATTGTAGATGAAACATCAAATAAACTGAAGAAAAACGTAATAAATAACACAATTTAAGTACATTCTATGAATGAAAAATAAAAATAAATAATATGAGCGATATCTCTATGATAGATGAACATATAAAGCACCTTGGTGAATAATATTAAAACTACAGAAAGACTAGGAAATTTATTTATCCAAATCAAAAAATTAAACATTAGCCGCATTAGAAATTGAAATAAATAACCGAAAAGGTGAATCTCTTATGGATCCATCACATTTTTCAACGAGTTGAAAATGATATTGTCGCTTCCTATTGATATAGAATGTCTTTTTCACACCTTATGATCATGAAAGCCTCTAAATTTTCTTGGCATAGAGAATTTATTATAGCCTATTCAAAATGAATTTTAATTTTGAGAAAGCTATTTCACACGATACCTGCGACACTGAAGGAGTAAGAATATATTTATGAATTTTCTTTAAATTTGGATAGGCCTCGACGTATCAATTGTATTTGTGCGAAACATGGTAGCAACAAAATGAACATTTTTTGCAGAACTTGTGTCGTGATGAAGTCAATTCCTCTTCTACATCGAAGAAATAATAAGTTCCACCATCCATCATATCTTCTGATAAAATACTCGACAGTCTTTCCCACTTCGAGGCAAAATCTATCAGTTCCATTTGCAAACTGTCAAGGCTTACTTCATCAGCAGGATAATAATTTTTGACCTTTTAATAATCCTTCCTGATTAAGTTTTCAGTTAAAATTATTTGATCATCAGTAAATCCAGACTGAATCGTGATTTTCTAGAATTTACATTTAGAAATAATGCTTCTCTTACAGAACGTTTGATGTAGCTTTCTTTGCAGTATCTATGTATATATTTTATATTCTTTCAACATTTCTACCGGCCTCCAGTCCGCCTCTGATGTGCTACCTGGGATAAGTGCGCAAAAAAGGGCGTCAACGAGATAATCAGAATCTAACCTAACCTAACCTGACCTGAACCACCCTGTATCTGTTCCGATTAAATATCACTAAATAGGGAATCAAAAGTTGGGATAGGGATATGTGAGCTGTTTTGACCGATAATGAATAGTTTCGACCAGTGCCGGTTTAAGGTGATTTGCCGCCTGGTGCTATGATGGACGTGCCGCCCTTCAGAATCAAAAATTTTCCTAATCTTCCAGGTCTTTGGATTTTTCCCCATGACACATTTTTGAGGTGATAATAAATTCTATAGGCACGTTGGACGTTTTCTGGGATGGGAGTAAAACGGCAAACTCGCGACCCGTGTGCCGCGTACCATAAGACCGGCATTATCATATGAGCAGTGTAACTATACCATAGAAGATCTACGCACACCAGTTTTTTTTATAGAAGTTTGATGAGCATAATGAAAAATATAATATAACAAACAGGATGTTGTGGAATAAAATTAAAAACATAATTCTTTAGTGTTCACATAATGAGTAACAAGGAAAATGAATTGGTATATGTTAGAATTAAAAAGGAGAATCAAATGATAATGATACTAGGCAAGTACGTAACTAGGAACATATAGACTAGACAAATTTTTGGGATATTGAACTTTAAGAAGCATTTCGTATTACTTTTTGGTAAAGGGTGTTTTTTTACTATTTCGACCCTGCTGAATTCGAAAATGCCGGTTGCCAAAGTGAAATCGCAACCGGAAGTGAGATTTTCAAGATGGCGTCCGAAATGGCATCAAAACAGAATTTTGCTGCTAAATCTCCCTTGTTTGAGGTAGGAACGCGACCAAAGGGTCTCTTTATATGTTTTCAGACATGAGGAAAACAAAAACACACAAACTGAACTCGTTCGTTGAATATAATTTCTAAAAAATATGACAAAAGCGGTCAAAGTTGCCCTTTTTGGTATTTAGCAAACAATATACTTTGACTAATGTACTATATCGTTCTATGCACATTTGAGACATTTAATGTAACACTTGAAACAAAAGGTATTTCTTTAGAAAGAAGTGAAATTATTGTGTGTCTCCAGAGTTCAGGCAAGAACGTTTACAGGGAGTGCACAGTTTGATGCAAGAGACATTGGCTTTTCTACAACTGCAATTTTTTGTATCACAATGTCCTTTGCAATGACAGACAACTATTTCTGGGCACGTCTTAGGAATGAGATCCAGTGTTATTAAACGAGGAACAACTTGTTCTCTCTGTACAATCCAGCCACAGTCCTGCAGCCTAGGTAGTGACGGTTTGGGGATATGCGCATTCTTTCAAACACACACCTGAGATAAAAATATATATATATTATATTCATTTCGTTTTCATTTCTGTCAATTTGCGTTTTAGGTACGCTTACCTGGTAGTTGCATCTCTTAATATGGAGACGAATTGCATCAGTTGTCGGTGGGAGAAATTCTGGCTTTCTTACAGCTCCAAATGAATAACTTCGTGCATCGTTTGAGCATGTGATGCTGGAATCAATCTGTATGAAATCAGAATTTCTGTGT